CTAAGATTCAAAATTTGTCCCAAGGGATTGAAACCTCATACATGTATAATCTGGCGTGTTAACCCCGTGCATGCACGAGCAAATGGAAATATATTTTCTCTACGTTGTACATGCAATTCCACTAATTAAGGGCACATGCATCTTTTCCATCCATCCTTAACATGTCTGAAAATTCATAGAACATAATTCTTTTTTTAGGGAGGGAGTAGTACACTGTTAATACAGAGAACATCCCCTAATCACTGGCTGTGTTGCTCAAGCTGGTAGTAGCTGTCGCTGTTCACTCTCGATAGTCACGTCGTCATCGTCCAAAAGCACAAAACAAGTTTGGGTAATGGTACTTTGCAGTATCATATATAAACATGGGGGCGATTTGCAAATATCAAAACAAAGGGGAGTTTCAGTAAAGTTACCCGTTCCTTTTGTTAAAGGAAGGGGCAGCTCCCGGCTAAGAAGCAAGGGAAAGCGAAAGAGAGCAGCAGAGCTTGGCAATGGAGCTTCCATGGGGAATGCTGCTGCTGCTGGTCCTCTCCGTCTCCTCCTCGGCTGCCGCCACGCTCGCCGTCAGTGCTCCGCCCCCAGCCCCACCTCGTCATGCTCAAGACGCTGAAGGTGACATTGTGCTTCTAACACCCTTGCTTCTCATCTTATCACACTGTTTTTCTATGCCAATCTTGTGTCTGTTGTCCCATGCCGGGGCCATTTGTCTGGATTCTTTTGGATCTGCATGCTGTTCTGTCAAATGAGGTGCATTTAGAGTAGTCCATGCTTGATCTCTGATGAGGAAACAGAGAACAGTCAAAGTTTGCTGCTCCATTTTGGTTTCATCTAGTTCTTTCACTGTTCTATGCTCGCAAGCACGAAACCTCCAGTTTTACCGCTACATATGTTTGTGCTGGGCAGCAAATTGTTCTAGTACTATATTTTTCATTCAGCGCTATTACTTTTCATCATACATCAGTTCACATCTGGGGTTTGCAGTCCAAGAACGTTGTGATTATTTTGTCCAAGAATGTTCTGTCTCGCAAAAAAAAAAAAATGCAGTGCATTTAGAATAGTCTATGCTTGATCTCTGAACAGGAAACAGAAGCTTGTTGCTCCATTTCTGTTTATTCTACTAGTTCTTTCACTGTTCTATGCTTGCAGCTTGCAAGCACAAAGCGTCCAACTTTACATCAAGATTCAAGAGCTGTCTGTGCAGGACAACTCAGTGGTGTTCTAGTAAAATACCCATCCATCCCTCCAAAAATGATGTGATTATTTTTTAAAGATTCGGACAAATGGCTGGTCATTGTTTTTGAGTTTGCGCGTGCAGAAGACGTAGCGAAAGATCTGATTTTTGTTCATGCATCCGTGGTCACACGCTCACGCAGGGCTGCTCATCAACGGTAACTTCGAGACGGCGCCGAGGAAGCTGAACAAGACCCTCATCGTGGGCCGGCACTCGCTGCCGGGGTGGACGGTGCAGGGTCACGTGGAGTACGTCTCGGGCGGGCCGCAGCCCGGGGGCATGTTCTTCGCGGTGCCGCACGGCGTGCACGCGCTCCGCCTCGGCAGCCGCGCGTCGGCGTCGCAGAACGTGACGGTGCGGCCGGGCGCGCTGTACGCGCTGACGTTCGCGGCGACGCGGACGTGCGCGCAGGACGAGTCCCTGCGCGTAGCGGTGTCGCCGTCGCTCTCGGCGCCCGCCGACGTCGCCGTGCGCACGCTCTACAGCGGCGCGTCCGCCGACACCTGGGCCTGGGGGTTCCGCGCCTCCTCCCCCGTCGCGCAGGTCACGTTCGCCAACCCCGGATTGCAGGAGGACGCCGCGTGCGGCCCGCTGCTGGACGCCGTCGCCATCAAGGAGCTGCCCGTGCCGTACCCGACCAAAGGTATGCATCACGGATGGATAACCTTACCTTCTCTTTCGGTTCAGGGACTGCAGATCGATTGCAATCTCAATGACGAAGGACGAATCTTTGGTCGCATCCGCATGCAGACAACCTGATCAAGAACGACGGGTTCGAGATCGGTCCCCAGGTGCTGAAGAACTCGACGGTGGGCGTGCTGCTTCCCCCGAAGCAGAAGGACGCGACGTCGCCGCTGCCCGGGTGGATCATCGAGTCGCTCAAGGCGGTGCGGTTCATCGACGCGGCCCACTTCTCTGTCCCAGCGGGGCAGTACGCGGTGGAGCTGGTGGCCGGGCGGGAGAGCGCCATCGCGCAGGTGATCCGCACCGTGCCGAACCGCGCCTACAACCTGTCGTTCGCCGTGGGCGACGCCAAGAACGGCTGCCACGGGTCCATGCTGGTGGAGGCGTTCGCGGGCAACGTGACGCAGAAGGTGCCGTTCGAGTCCGCCGGGAAGGGTGGGTTCAAGGCGGCGGCGTTCAGGTTCGTGGCCGCCGGCGCCCGGACCCGCCTCACCTTCTACAGCTCCTACTACCACACCAAGGTCACCGACGGCGTCTCGCTCTGCGGCCCCGTGCTGGACCAGGTCAAGGTCGTGCCCGTCAAGGCGTAGTGAATGATGAATCATCGTGAGAGCTCCATGTGGGTTGGGACAAGTGTGGATGAACTCTGGACCCTTCTGAATCTGATCATGCGGTGCAGAACTTGTGCATGCGTTGCGATGTAATGTTGCGAAATTCGGTTGCCCACCTTTTTGTTCGCTCCATGTTTGATGTTTGTTCATGTCCTCAAAGTCTGAAGCAGACATGCCACGATTGCGGTCACACAAGCGGATAATCAGGGTTGCCGCCTACCCCTGTTTGCCGGAGGCACGTAGCCGCGGTGTAGGGGGACTTTAGTCGCTGTCCCCGGTTACCGATTTGGAATTCGAGGATGATTGTGAGCGTGGAGACCTTATTGGAGCTGCAGCTACGCAATCCTGACGCGTGGTTCAGTTTGCGTTCTTTAGAACGTCCTGTGATCAAATTTTGAATGTCTTTTTTCAATCTGATACATCTTGTGATCAATTTTTGGAGCACAGCTTGACAGGGCACAATTCTGTCTGTTTAAACCTAATTAATTCATAATTTAACAATATAATATGACATTAACACATGTGCTAATAACCGATTAATTAGGCTTAATAAATTCGTCTCCCGGATTATTGACGGATTTTGTAATTTTTTTATTAGTATCCGAACATCCAAGGTGACACTCATGTGACACCCTAAAACTTTACACCTAAATTTAAACAAGGCATTAAAGTAGTGCTCCAATTTTCCCGTCTACAATGAATTCACTGATTTTATTATGGGCCCGGTTCGCTTGAGTTTATTAATGAAAATTAATCCTACTTTTCAGTCATAAAAACGATGCTTTTCTCTCAACAAATCAGCTCTACCGAAACAGCAGTAAATTCCGCCGAAGAGCGCCATGGTCAGCGCCATGGTCTGGCCATCCAATTGCTTCCCCAATAGAATTTGGCACTGTCTGATTTGACATGTGAGACAGATCTTCACGCCTACTGGCCATCCAAGTGCTTTCGTGGCATTAGCCTCATTCCCGAGCCACATGTCGAGCCACATGTCGAGACTCAAGACTACAATTCTCCATGTACTCCTGTATAAAGGGCCTGATTGCTTTGCTTTCAAAATTCGCCATGCTAATAATTTAGCAAGTTATAACTTAGCCTAGTATTTAATTTACTACCAAAACTTGTCAAACTCTCATATTTGGCTTTGCCAAATCTATAGCAATATTTTTTGCCTAACTTTTAGCATGACAAATTTTGGATGCCAACCAGACATGCCCAAACAATCGTTCATCCTCACCAACAAAGTAGCCAAGTGGAGGAACAATGTTTCACCTTTCCAATTGTCTCCATTTCAGCTAGGAACGGGCGATCACCTTGGAACTGATAGCAAATACTCGTAGCCAGGGGCGGATCCAAAGGGGGAATGTCGGGGCTACAACCCCCCAGTGAGTCTGATTTCTTCATTAGACCACGGTTACTTAGCCTTAAATCACCATTAATCTCTAGCTCTAGCCCTAAATCTTCGTGCTGTTCGTTTGGGCTTGTTTGGCTGATAAGCCATGACTGAAAGTACTGTTGGCTGATTTGGTGTGAGAGAAAAATACTGTTCGTTGGCTGATAAGCTATGGCTTATAAGCCAAACATGACCAAACGAACATGCTGCTTTATTATTTAACTTCCCTTTATCCCCATCCTGCATCCGCCACTGCTCGTAGCTGAATGCTGATAGTGCCATGCATAGTTTGCAATGTGCACCCAAACAGAGTTTTTTTTTCTGAAGAAAAGTTGGCCACCATGAACCCTTGAGGAAATAATGCCCTGTAGACAGCGCCAAAAGAAATCATGCTCTTGTTCAAATAGAATTTAGGAATCAGGGGTTCCTACAATTTGTACATCCTGACCAATTTTACATATGCTTGAAGTTGCTATTATAAAAAAAAAGTTTAGTGCAATAAGAGCTATTGTATTGAAGAATAATTTTTTAAAAGGGGAAGAGGCCTTGAAAACATTTTATTTTGAAAAGTGATAAAAACTTTTCATACCAACCAATTGGAACCTGTAAACTGACAAGTGTCCAAATTACATTTTAGAGCAGTTTGGTCTTCAGTCTTCACCATGTGAAGTATTCTCTCGTTCCACGCTGCCAACGGGCCAGACCCAACACAGGTTCATCTGAAGCGCCGCCGACTTTACACCGCGGCGGTGGCCCGGCTCCAATCTTCGACGTACACTGGTTCCTGTGATCTGCCGGGCCACAAGCCGGGAGCCCGGGATCGATTGCTTTGTGTATGGTCGATTACAGAAAATGGGCCTCAGAACTGTAATCCATCCTCGAATGTTCACTGGATTCCCAGCCCATGGTTCAGCCCACGGCCTCCGCCGCAGCATCTCCGGGAAAAGGAACCCTAGCTCCATCCCTCCACATAAATACCTCCTCGCCTCCACCATCGCCACTCTTCGCGCCGCCGCAGCCCCCAAACCCTCATCCCCCATCACTCTCCGGAGCACCCCGACCACCCCTCCCTCACCCGGCCATGGCGGAGCGCGGCGGCGAGCGTGGCGGCGAGCGCGGCGGGTTCGGCCGTGGCGGCGAGCGCGGCGGGTTCGGCCGTGGCTTCGGGCGCGGCGGGCGCGGCGACCGTGGCGGGCGCCGCGGCGGGCGTCGTGGTCCGCGTCAGGAGGAAGAGAAGTGGGTCCCCGTCACCAAGCTCGGCCGCCTAGTCAAGGAGGGCAGGATTAACAAGATCGAGGAGATCTACCTCCACTCGCTCCCCGTCAAGGAGCACCAGATCGTCGAGACCCTCGTCCCGGGGCTCAAGGACGAGGTCATGAAGATCACGCCCGTGCAGAAGCAGACCCGCGCTGGGCAGCGCACCCGCTTCAAGGCCTTCGTCGTCGTCGGCGATGGCGACGGCCACGTCGGCCTGGGAGTCAAGTGTGCCAAGGAGGTGGCCACCGCCATCCGCGGCGCCATCATCCTCGCCAAGCTCTCCGTCGTCCCCGTCAGGAGGGGTTACTGGGGTAACAAGATCGGACAGCCGCACACCGTGCCGTGCAAGGTCACCGGTAAGTGTGGTTCCGTCACCGTCCGCATGGTGCCCGCGCCCAGGGGTTCTGGCATCGTCGCCGCTCGCGTGCCCAAGAAGGTGCTGCAGTTCGCTGGCATTGAGGATGTCTTCACCTCGTCCCGTGGCTCCACTAAGACCCTTGGCAACTTCGTCAAGGTACTACTACGCTCTTATTCATATTATGATGTGATGCTTCTATTATTCTATACATTTGCAATACTGATATCTGAATGAGCTTATGTGAAATGTTGAATTTGTGGTGTTCACTTTATCAGATGATCAGTTAACTTGGTACTTCAGAAATTGTTGTTTGTATATTAATTTATTTCTTATAGTCTAAAGAGCTGGCCACTAATGTGATATGATAATTCTATTATTGCGATTATGAAATTGCAGCGGACACTGACTATATAGTGTTGTTATGATTTACCTAATTCGTTCAGAGAAATTTCTAAAATTTGACATCTAAAGCCTTCCAAGATTTGACACCCAGACCCACATGTCAATGGCCGACTCTAAACGTCATTGTGATATGAGTGTTAAATCTTGAAAGGCTTTCGGATTGGATGTTAATTATCAAAATCTCTTCTTCATGTTACTCGTAGAATCTGGTTCCAATTCATATCTAGATGTACTAGTTTTGCTGCAATTTAAGACTGGTTAGACCCGCAGAATCTGGTTCCAATTCATATCTAGATGTACTAGTTTTGCTGCAATTTAAGACTGGTTAGACATTTATTATTGGCTGTCTACTTTTCTAGCACCAGATTCTACCTTCATAATGGCCCGTATTGGAATTTTGTATGAACTTAGTTCTTGAATAATGTAGTATCTAAAGTTACAACCTTTCAAAAAAAAAGTTTTAAACTTTACGTAACATCATTCTTTAGTTACATGTACTTAGCTTGTGAATCATACAGTATCGAAAATTCTAAACCAACTAAAAGTCTGTTCTGTGGTTACACTAACAGTTGACCTATTAGCATATATTAACTTTTTTTGGTTCTGTTGCAATTTAATCCGTACATTCTTATATAGATGTCTATTCAGTGCCATTTAGTAGTCATTTGGTTTGGTTATGTGCAGGCAACCTTCGACTGCTTGATGAAGACCTATGGCTTCCTTACTCCTGAATTCTGGACTCAGACCAAATTCTCCATGACTCCATTCCAGCAGTTCACGGACCTCCTGGGAAAGCCCACCAAGGGTCTTGTGCTTGAGGCCCCAACTGAGACAGTAGAGGCGTAGGATGGTTGAGTGAAGAGCTCTACTCGTTGGGAGTTGTCTAAATGCGCTTTCTATATTATAGTTAAGAACTGTGGGAGTCAACTATGGGTTTTGTTCTGCCCTGGATGTTGTTCTTTACTGTCAAGTTTTGGATTATGGTACTTACTATGGTACTTTTTATCAGTGAATGCTACATAATTATCAAATGATAGTCTTTTTACGGCGAAGGCTTTTGGAGGCTGGTGTTGGTTGACTTGAATGCAGTTTTGCTGTTAGGTGCCTTTGTGCTGTGAATGCGTTGTGTGACCTTGCTAAGTAGTCTGTGCGCTTTCTCTTTAGCAGAACTTGAGGCATTGATGATGCTCGACTGCCTACTGCTCCATTGTCATTTGTTGCAGTTAGCCTGATTTTAGTGTTCCATAGCTGGTCATCAGATTTTATATTTATCTATCCTTATCTGGTTCTGAAATTTTTATGTTTTTGAAGGGGTTGCCATGTTTAAATTTTTCTGTGTCTGGATTATCATGTAAAGTTTCATTTGAGTGGTACAAAGCTATGTCATCACCAGTCTATTTGTGTGAAGGATTTGGGTTTTTGTTTTTTGTAATTTGTAATATTGTGATTCCGTTGCGTCATTAGCTGCTGTTAGCCTAGAGCAATTTCTGGGTTCTCTACTCTTGGCTGGTTAACAAGCATATGCGCCACTTTTCGCGCGCTGGAATTGTCATGCGTTCTTGATGGCCACTACTCAGTTCTCACGCCCTGGAATTGTCTTGCTTGAGGCCTCTTTTCGCGCTTTGCTTTGTTGCCCTGCAGCTGTCCACTAGACACTGGTGGTGGCACTGGCACATACGAGTACTACTTTTCAATATCAGTACTCCATGAGAATTGAGTGAGAAGAAAGAAATACGCAACGTGCCTGGCCACCGTAACGCTGTTTTCCCCGGGTACTCGTGCAGTCGTGCTCCAATGTGCATATGCCGTCCATTTGTTGCTTGCACGCCGGTTCTTTGTTTGAACCATGCTCGCAGGCAGCCTTGACGGGCCAGCTACGACGAGGTGCGCCAGGGCCCAGGGGAACTGGAATTGCTGTGGCCAAGTCCTGAAACTCAAACTGGCAAGCTGCTGCCGTCCCGACTTTGGTCGTCTCAGGTTCGCCGATCCCGACGAGGTGCTGCCTGTAGACGTGCCCATGACACGCGGGTCCGCCCGGGAATTCCGGTCAGAATCTTCGCCGGACCGACGTGCCTGGGCCTCATCTGGCGCTGACGCGAAAAGTTTTTCCCCGAGGCTGGGACGGCCTCACGGCCGGGCGCCCTGGGCCTCAGAAAATTTGGTTGGTGAGAGGGAGTCGCAGCCAGGGCAGCGCGAGAGCCAGCCACGAGGACGGAGCGAGCAGGCGAAACAGCACTACAAGTCCTCTTCTCCCCTGCGCCACTTGGGTTTCTTTCTTTCTTTTATACCACACCACACCGCCGCCGCTAGCTGCTCCCCTGATCGTCGACCAGGTTTACAGGGGAAACGAGCTGCGGCTGCTGCTGCTGCAAGAACAGGTACGCAGACAGCATGGCCGGAGTCCAGGTGACGCCGGCGGCAGTGGGGCGAGCGCCGTGGGGCGGTTCGGTGTCAGGGGTGGGTAGCACCACCGGCTTGTTCGCCGGCGACTGGAGGAGGAAGGCTCGCCGCCCGGCGTGCTCGGTCTGGGCGCTCAGGCAGAACCGGAGCAGCAGCAGGAGCAAGGGCGGCCTCGGCATCGTCTGCAACCTCGCCGGACAGTACGAGGATAGCTTTGACGACGTCCAGCGGGTACCTCAATCTAAACTAGTAGTTTCTTGCACTTAATTTCCATCAGCTTCGATTACTTCTGCTAGATTTTCTTGTACCGGTTCTTGCACTTCTTGTTCATCAGATGTGCTGATCGACAGGCTAAACGCAGAGAAAGTATCGTAATGTTCTTGAAACGTAGCAACGAGATCGAGGGAAAAACATAGGATTTGTTTTGATTTTCTGAGACCAAATTCGTTTGGTTCATTTCAGTTTGAAGAAATTCAAGGCGCTTCCTTTCGGCTGTCCTTTTCCCTGAACTGAACTTTCCTCCTGGCGTTTGTGGCTGCAGCAACTGATGAATTACTTCACCTACAAAGCCGTGAGGACCGTGCTGACCCAGCTCTACGAGTTGAACCCACCAAGCTACCGTTGGTTCTACAAGTAATAATAGCAAACAAATCCTCTCTGTTCTACTCTGAATTCTCCCTGCTCATAAACATGCATGTTCTTATTTCCGTCTGCTGTAGCTTCGTTGCTGTCAACAAACCTACTGACGGCAAGCATTTCCTCCGTGCTCTCAGCAAGGTATACACACACTACACGTATATATCCAAAAAATTCATGTGCTGATCTTCTGCCGCTGCGAATGGAGCTCACGCAATTGCCACTGCTTATCTTGCAGGAGAGGCAGGAGCTTGCTGAGCGAGTGATGATCACCAGGCTTCACCTATATGGAAAATGGATCAAGGTAACCAACCAAAGATAAGCAAGTGCTGCTGTAGCCTGCCTATTGCCGACTTATTTGATGACTGACATTTTGGTTGGGTTCTGGATATATAATCTGTCTGTCAGAAATGTGACCACGCAAACACGTACGAGAAGATCTCTGACGAGAACCTGACGCTGATGCGAGAGCGGCTCATGGAGACGGTCATCTGGCCAACAGACGACACCAACACAGAGAAGATCGGCTGATGCCTTCCGAGGCGTGAAATTATTTTGGGTTGCTGATCAAGCTTAGCTCCTTATATTAGGTAGAACACTCTGGGTTTTGTGTATCTGTCAGTCAGCCAGTCAGACAGTCAGTCAGTTGTATATAATCGGAGTTGTAGTAGAGAGTATACATTTTCCTGGGCAGTGTTCAGGCAATTAATATTTGAGGTGTTAACAATGCTGTTTTGCCCTCCCAAGTCTCTACAGTTGTTCTAAGGGAAGCAAAAATACTTTGCCTTGTAATTTGTATGAATAATGAAAGCTTTGGTTCATTTCAAAGTTCAGACATTGTCTTGAATTCGTCTAGAGGTCTTTATATTTTTCCATTTTGACTAGTCTAGCCACACCATCCACATACTGCAGGCTACATATCTCAAGCTGCATGTAACCTTACAGGACATTGGATTTACTAGAACTGGGCATGTATTCCTAGAAACATCAACTGCTGCTACTTTCTATAAAAGAAGATACAGGAAATTTACATGAATGAACCAAACGAATACTCCTTAGGAACATATGTATCTCACTATGGCTAGGTGTCTCTACACTCTATCCGTACAGGCTACAAAGTACAGGCAACTAAGTTCACTTGCCCCCCCTACTTTGTGGCAGCGCAAGGCTGTGGAACAACCAACCCGGATTTTCTCCATTTTGCATTTTGGCAGATGCTTTCTGTGTTGCCCTTGCCGGCCTTCATTTTCAGGTCAATGTTCTTTAAGGTAATGCCATGGCATGGGACACATTCTTGCTGCAGTTCATCTTGATGGCATGCTTGGTGATGGTTGTCCCTCTAATGTTCTTGAAGACAACATTGCTAACCTGCACTGCTGATCTTTGTTCAACGCATGGCTTAGCCTTGTCACAGTAGTGCTGGTCGATGATTATTGGGTTCTTGACACCGTACATGGCCATGTTTTGGAACGTGATGTCCTTGGCGTACCCACTTCCTCCCTGGTACGTCTTGATGCGTGCTCCGTTGGTCGCACCGTGAAGTTGCACTGAATCTATGGTGATGCCGGAGACTTCGGCTCTCGAGTAGTCGTCTCCTAAGCTCCCAATGCTAATCCCGTGCCCCGGACCACAAACAACTTTAGAGACATGAAGGTTATGAGTCCCGTTCTCGATCGACATGCAGTCGTCCCCTGTAAAATTCAACAGGAAAAACAAAATCTGAGTCCACGAAAGTTTGAAGATACAATGACATGTGTTCTAAACGATGCAAATCAGGAACAAACTACTTACCGGTCTTGATCTTGCAGTTTGTGACCCGTACATCATTGCTCCGAGTGATGTGGATGCCGTCAGTATTAGGGCTCGTGGCAGGCGCTGTCATGGATAACCGTGCCAATAGCACATCCGTGCAATCCTCGACTGACATGTGCATCTGCTGGCTGTTCACAATTTTCAGATTGTCCACTCTCAGATTGGTGCAGTAGTGGAATGACAAAGCCGTTGGAGCTTCCTTGCAAGGCTGAAGAAAAGAGAAGCCAATTCAGCTAAGTCAGGACACTCGCCTCCTAGTAGTAAAGCACAAGCATACAAATATTCAGATAAACAAAAGGGTCGGCCGTCGGCGCCACACACTACTTACCAGTCTTGTTGATCTTGCAGGAGTGTGGCCACCATTTCTGGCAGTTGCCGTCGATGGTGCCACCGCCATTGACGGTGAGCTTGTTGACCCTTCGGAACACGATCCAGTGCCTTCTGTCCTTGTCGCTCCAGTCCACCCTGTCCGGCGACGCCACCAGCGTGCCCTTCACCGTGAGCGTGACGCTGGACTTGCACGGGCCACGGAGGGTGACGAGCTTGAGCAGGTAGCGCCTGCCGTTGGGGACGAGCACGACGGCCGGGCGTGGTGAGGCCCACGCCGCCTTCCACGACATTTCTAGCGCATGCGTGTCGTCGTGCCTCCCGTCGCCACGGGCGCCGTAGCGGTCGAGGCTGAACACGCTCTGCGACGAGCTGTCATTGCCCGCTCCTGCAGCCTCAAGAATGGCGGACATGAAGAGCAGCGCGAGGAGAGGCGCCATGAACGTACACAAGCTTTATCAGCTTCCCTCTGTATGCCATTGGCAGAGCTAAGCACGCTGTGCAGGACCTGCAGGTGGTTAGCTGCAGCCCGGACTTTGAGATCACAACAGAATTGCCAGTGCAGCTCTTGTTGGAAGGCTTGCTCAGGCCGGTGCCGGTGCTGGTGCTGGATTGGATGGTGACTTGGTGAGTAAGCAGCATGCCCACGGCCGCTTATATAGGCGCACTGAGGAGAGCTTCTGTGTTGCTTGTGAAGAAGAGCAACGCGGGAGAGTTTGGTTGGCAGATCAGATATGTGCAGTAGAGTGTGCATGTGCATGCTTGCAGCCACGCCATGCCCATGCGTGCAGGTATCGATGGATCCGGCCCTGAGATTCTTACGGCATGATCGCAAGGAGATAAATGTGCCGGAATCATATTAATGGCTGAATTGCTTGAGTCCACATGCAGGTTTTTCATGACGAAAAATTCTCAAATCTGTTTGCTTGCTCGTTGCAATTGTAGTCTGTGTGCGTTTGTTCGATCTCAGGTCAAAGTCCATCTGATTCTATGGAGCATGAGGGCCCGCACGGCAGTGAAAAAATTCAGTTAGGCATCTGTGGAACAACCGAACCATGCTATACAATGCCCGGAAGCAACATATATCAACGTGTCGATGATGATGCAATCTGCTACTAGTATATAAGCACCTAAGCCGGTTCAGTGAAAGAGTCAGATTGTCAGAACACTCTTATATTATGTGTTTAATTTTCATAGCCAATCTGAATGTCACTACACGATACTTAGAGAAAAGGTAATACTAATGGAGTAACCATGTTCACATTTTTTTTCGGTATCTTATTTGTACGATCCAAAATAAAATCACATATATAAGAGAGTCACCATTTATGTAAAATGAATCCTGAAAATTGTTCCTTGCATATTTATGCACTTAAACTCTTCTTGTGGATATAATAAAAAGGTGAAGAAAAGGAGACTAGGCACCAAATATAATTGGTGAATTTTCTAGCATTTAAGAAAAATCTACTAATATAGTTTTCAAATATTAGAACTCAGAACAACTTAATCTTAATATTACTACCTAGAGGTCTTCACTAGAGGCTCTACCACTCTATGTTAATTCTTATGTGAAACACAAGAAAAAGGAGATAAATTCTAAAATTTTCACACTAATTGTAAACATCTAGTCTTTAATTTGGTAAGCTCTAATGTTATCATTAATAATAATTATTGGATATTTGGATATACTTAGTTTTTTTTTCTAAAAATACCCATCTCCGCCATTATAAAAAATACATAAGTAATTGCATAAGCTTTCGTCTAAATTACCTACATTTGCGATTATGAAAGATAATTTAAAATATCTCTCTAACTTGCATCTAAATTACCTACCTCCATCATTAACGATAATTTTAAATAACCATTGAATTATATCTAAATTATCCACCTTACCATTATTAAATATAATACAAATTAATCCATAAATTTGTTTTTAATTAACCATCTTGGCCTTATGTTTCTAAATACCCAGTCTAGCTATACAACCTTTAAGTTCAAAGCACACATAAATGTCATGTCTCACCGTGTATACCAAGTGTGCATGCGGCAAGGCTTGGCCTGGTCGGCAAGTGAAGTGACCCCAAGTTTGGTGACTCAAATAAATGCACTTTAATATTTTATGAATGAAATTGATCCAATGCAAAATGCAAAGTTTGAAGACTATAACCAGTCATTTTGACAGTCTATGATGAAACTGCGCCCAAAAATAATTTTTCTCGAACACGCAAAAGGCTTGCGCGTCTTTGTATTAAGTAGAAAGGAGTTTTGAATTACAAACGCAGCGCTCTAGGGGGCTCAACAAATTAGAGTGAAGCTCATGCCCTCCCTAGTGACCAAAACGACTATTTTGAAAATTCAAGGACGAAATTGAGCCTTAGGCGATGCTAAGGAACCAAATTAACTATTTCACTGTTTATACTGGTTATATTAATATATAAAGCTCTCTCTTTCGATTAAAAAAAATATCATGCTGAAAAGTTTTCGTGATAAGCATCACTACTGGACGCAGGGTCTTTGCCGAGGGCCTGAAGCCCTCGGCAAAGGCTCTTCAGCCGTCGGCGAAGGATTTGCCGAGGGCAGCCCTCGGTGAAGAACCCTCGGGAAAAAAAACGTCGGCGAAGGACTCTTTGCCGAGGGCCTTTTATCGGGCACTCGGCATAGTATTTGCCGAGGGCTAACGGCGGCCCTCGGCAAAGTAAAGTAGTCGTTAGGTTCGCGGTTATTTTCCACGGTGTCTTTGCCGAGGGCTGACATACAGGCCCTCGGCAAAGAGCTTTTTTTTGGAATTTATTTGCCGAGAGCTATACCGCAGGGCCCTCGGCAAAGACCTATTTTCTTTTTTTTTCTCGGAATTTCTTTGCCGAGAGCTATATCGAAGGCCCTCGGCAAAGACCTACGTTTTTTTTGTCTCGAATTTCTTTACCGAGGGTGTGTTCAAAACCCTCGGCAAAGACCTACTTTTTAATTTTTCTGGAATTTCTTTGCCGAGGGCTATGGTGAAGGCCCTCGGCAAAGACCTGACCTAATTTTAATTTTCTGGATTTTCTTTGCCGAGGGCTATGGTCAAGGCCCTCGGCAAAGACCAAAGAAAATTTTCAACATTCCACCTGCTTTCTTGCTTTCCATGCGCATAAAAAAAAAAAATATATATATATATATTCAACAAAGAGAAATATCCCACAAATATCACAATCATCACATATATCTCACAAATATCACATATATCTCACAGATATCACATAGATCATCACATGTATCATCACAAGTCCAAATTCAACAATTCCATAAGTCCACAATCTAACTCAAGTGTCAAGTCCACAAGTTCAAATCCGATTGAGGCTGGCCAACCTCTCAACCGTCGGCCTCTGCGTCGAGGGTGGTGTAACGAAGCCTCCGAATCGGGTGGCCTTTTAGGGGTTATTGGAACCCACCGATCGAGGCTGCACAAACAATTATATGCTTATGTGAGATTGCGATAATTATTCTAGGACTACAGTTTTAGTATTTAGACGAAAACCTATCAAATTTTTTATAGCTAGTGTTGTCTGCGGGTTTCTATGTCAAGCAAATCAGTAGCTAGTGTTCTCTGGGTTTCTATGTCACACAAGCGAAAGTGAACTTTAATGCTTACAGGAGTAGCTGCAAACGCGCGCGGCACTTTGAGGGCGGAGGAGCCGACATCTGCACAGCACACCGTCTTACGCCCAAGAGCTTGCATGATTTGCATCATTTCGCAATCCCGACCTCCTGGGCCTCCCGAGTGGCTGCTTTCGACCTCCACCAGCAGCGGAGGGCCGTGATCTGCGCCGTCTTCTCGTTGTTACGGGCCTGCAATATTGCACTCCAATATTTCATAATGCAAAACTAACTCAAGTGTGAGAATATTAATTTCGACGAGTAAAACAAGAATTACCTCGGCGCATCGACCGCTGCAGTTGTCGGAGTAGGCCGTGGCGTATGGGCTGGCCGAACTCGTGCTCGTGCTCGGAGCTGGCTCGAGTGGGAACAGCAGGGTGGGGTCGATGGCGGCGTTCGCAATCCACGTCCGGCCGTGCTTCTGCCATGCCAAAAGCCTCATGATGGCCTCGGCATCAATGGGCTCGGTGCGGACGTCGTCTACTCGGCCCGTGCGCTGCATTGCATCCGCCGACGTGTACTCCTGGACTTTAGTGTACATGTTAGGGTCGGAGTATGCCTCGCGAGGGCAGCAGCCGGGTCCCAGTGACGTCGCCGGCCACCTGAGTGCAGTGGGACATAGCCCACACCGTGAACATCGAGACATCCTCGTCCGGGTGCGCAGACCTCCTGCGAGAAAGGCGGCGGTGGTGAGCAATCGAGCATACGTTAAGCGTGAAACTAAATAGAAGAAAAATCACTTACATATGCCGATTTGAATCCGGGAGACTCCTGCTTTGCCTTGATGGTGAGTGGCAGCTGGCCTGAGCATACGCAGTGCCCGCTGAGACTCGTGCTTCTCTATGTAGGCCGGCGTGAACCACCTAGCCACGATCATTGTCCAGGCGTCGGCATGCGCTCGGCACCACCAGGGAATCATTTACATGTCAACGAGTGTTTGACATATATGAAGATGAAATTGAACATATTTAATTCAAAAACAAAACAATATCAATGTTATTCATGTATCTCAAGGTCTTGCTCACAGGTCATTATCATCCGTCGAGCCTCCCTCTTGGTGATTGTCATTCTCTGAGCCGACGATAGTAGTCTATGTGGGCCTAGACGCTACCCTCGTGAAACATGTCGGTGACATACTTCCCTGATGTGCATCGCGCCACCACGATCATCACGAGGCCCTCGGTTCCTTCTTCGCCCTGAAAAACCTTTGCATAAAAGATGATATATCCAATCGTTATTTGAAAAAAATAGAATTCAATGTGAAGGATTGATTAATGTTGTGCGAGAGGAACTTACCCAAAACTCAGCAAGTATCTGCTCCTGCTTGTTGCGGTACTGGTCGTCCTCGCCCAGGGCATACCTGTCCCACGTGTAGGCTGGCTCTCGGGCCTCCGACGGCAACTCCACAATGCCGGGGAACCACTTCCGACACAACACACCCAAGACGGTCGCGGGAGAGCGCAGAGGAGTACCTGACAACACCTCCCAAGCCCTGCACAAGTAAGAAGAAAATTTATCAGTTTCTCTTTCGATTTCAAACATATCATATGAAGTAGTTGTGATATCATTTATATTTACTTACTTGGGCGGCACAGGGCGAAGCACTAGATGGTTCTGAGGAAGCGGAAACGAAGGGAGCGTCGCCGGGCCTCGCTGGTAGACACCCGACGCCTCGCCTCCCTCGTCCTCGGGCGCCGCACCCTGCTCCTCCTCGACCTCCTCCTCCTCCTCCGTCGGTGGCACGGCTCAGGGGCCGAGTCCGCGCCTCCTCCTACCACCGCCTCTCCTCGTCTGCCTCCCCCTC